CTGTCTGGCTGCATAGGCCCGTCGCCTGACCTTAGACTGGGAGGGGTCGTCAACCCCTGAAGTGGAACTTGTCTTCCAGCACATGAAAACCGTATCATACTTGGAAGGAAAACTGTAAAAAGGATAGAACATGGACTGATTAGGCCTTCTTATTTTTTGGTGAACATAATGCACGTCATACTGATTATAGTCTACATCATTAGTTCAAAGCCAAGATTGTGCTTGGATTGAAAATAGTAAGAACTCATTGGGGGGGGGGGCTGCTATAACATATTAGCAGGAAAGTTTATGGTACAGCTTGTGTTGATGTTGAATGTAACAGTCGTGCTGTGTCAAGTTTCACAAAGACTTGAATGCATAAATGGGTTTCACAAGAGGAATCACAAGTCATAGGCAGTAATCCATTACATATGAACCCAACTTAAAAGTGATTCGAGGATAAAAGTCCATAAAAGATATAGCAACTTTTGTGGTGTGGTGCAACTTTTAACTAAATGTAGGACTACTGAGACCCAACTTACTACCACAGACTTCCCTTGCTTTACGTTTCTTGGCACACCTCTAATTTATGTCAGCTACCAAAAAATCAGGTCATGCCGTCCGCCGTTACCTTATTTACAGCAGCGGTATGTCATTCATGTTCCCCTATAACATCTTTCAGTAATTCTCCTGGGGGAACCCAGGTGGGTCCAATGGTTGAATGTCCTGTTTTTTTGGAGCACTGCCTTACCTCAGATAGCTGACCCTTGTTCTCTGATTTGCACCTCATGAAGAAGAGGTTGGCAACAAGTACATTTATGAAAATGTGTGTTACCCCCGCCAAGGAGTTTATGTTTTCATCGGCATTGGTTAGTTTGTTGGTTGATTGGTCTGTCTGTTAACAAGATAGAAATTTTATGGATGGATTTGCATGAAATTTTTCTTAGGGGTGGTCCTTGGTACAAGTACAAATCAATTAGATTTTGGAAGTGATCCCGATCTGGGTCTGGATCCAGGATTTTTTAAAAGGATTATTCACCATTTATGCGAGTATTTCTTTGGGTGTACTGACAATATGGTGGAGAATTGTTTAGCTTTGGCGGAGATGGTGCTCTCTGAGTGCTTTCTAGTGTTGAATACTACATTACTTGAAGGAAAGATGATTTATAGTTCAAGCCATTGTGTCACATGAACTACACACTATTCCCTCTTTAAAAATCACACTGGCATTGAAAAAAGTATAAACAGCTGGGTGCTTTAAAAGAGCTTACGATAAGCCTTGAAACATGAATCAGTGTCTGAATAAATCAGTGCAAAATATGCAACCTGAAACACCAAACTCAACTTGACAAGGAGTCATTTGGAACATAAAAGGTGCCTATGGAGAACATCTGCCAAGCATCATTCTTAATTGACCTCGTTTAATAACAGGTGGGCATTGTAGAGGAGTCAATGTCATGCTGTATAAATTTGGCAATACATTAGCTGGTCGTGTTGCACAGAATTTCATGTTTTGGGGTTTCCCCTTGCCTTTCGATTGTTATTGAAGCAGCATGTGTTCAGAGCTTTCAGGAAACTGACTTTAATATTTTTGTTTAAGATACAAAGCTGAAATGGGTGAACAAAATAATAACAATTGCATCCCTCCAAAATTTGCAAATTAATAATGACACACTGAGCAAAACAAGACTCCTGTTCCAAATTGTGGTTATGTAGGCCTACATGTTGGGGACCAAGCACTTAAATATTGGATGTATAATGACCGGATTGGCCCCCTTACCCAAGGGAATAACTACTTCTTGGAAATTGTTTCATGAAAAAAACATGTCTCGTACCACAAACTTCTTGTTTCGTTGAATCCGAAATTTGTTTACAACTGTGTGGGTTTGGCAGTATAAAAAACAATGGATTTTGAAATATTTGATTGCGTAATGTTTTACCTCATCTGTTCTGTTGCCTTGTGGACTAATTTAAGCATGTCTAGACATTTCATATGCAGTGGGTCCAGGCCACCTGTCTTACTGGAACTTTGAAGTAGACGAAAGCAAGCTTCAGATTGGTGTACTTAGACACTTCTTAGTGAAAGCCACTCAGCTGTTGAGGCGGTTAATATTAGGTCAAGAACAGACTTTTTGGAACCAAACAAATTATGTCATCAATGTTGGCAAGGAGAGTTGTGTTATTAAAAGCAAACTTTGAGGGCAAGCTCAAAGGGCGTAGATGATGTTTCTTACACATGTGGAAAAATCTTCACCCCAGTACAACTTCTAGGCCAACTATTGTAAAATGTCATCTTTCCACACAATGAGATACACATGACCAGTCATGCGACCAACCCCAATAGACAATTCTAAACAGTGCACTATATTTGTCCAACAACTGCACAAAGTTCGGTGTAAAGCCTAGGGGCATAAATCATATAACCCCCCCCCCCCCCCCAAAAAAGATCATTAGTTTTCTGGTCAACATCACCAGTAACACAAAAATCTGACCCCCTTATGAAATCGTGCATGAACAAAAGAAGAAGAGCACCCTGTTTATACAAAAAGTTAGGTCTGTCATGAGCCAATGTGGCCCATCAGGCTGTCTTTATCTCTGGTTCCAGTGGCATGAATCGACTGAGAATATTTCTACTCGCCCTGGACAGGATGCTAGTCCATCGCAGGTTACTCCCCAGGTAATTAATACCATTACCTATTTATACTCCTGGGTGGAGAGAGGCAAGTGGTGATGAAGTGGCTTGCCCACGGACACAACATTTGGCCAGTGGCTGGATTTGAACCCCTGACCCTCTGATCATGAGTCACAAACCCTAACCACTCGGCCACACTCCCAAACAAGAGCACCCAAGCCTCTCTTCAAGTCATTTGAAAGTTAACACTGAAAACTGCCAGGAATGGATTTAAACCATGCCTACACCCCCACCCCACCACTGTGAATTCTGCTTTCAAATTCCTATCATCTCTAAAGTTTCGTAATATTCCAGTGATTCCCTCGCACATGGTTACGACAGAAAATCTGCACATGTTGGCAAGTTTGTATTAGTATCATTACCCATCGATACTGGTGCATGTACCAGTTCAACAAACCATCGATCTGGCACAGACGACCCTAAGGGGACAGGGAATTGCAACACTCAACACAGGAACATTCCAATTTCTTTTGTCTTTTCGATGATTGATCGATTGATTGATTGATGTTTTCGTTTGATTTAATTTGATTAGCCAAATTGTATGTTTCAGCTGGTCTTTACATGACAAACCATTTAAACATAACAATGGCAGGGGCCTGATAGCAATTTTTTTTTTGTAGTTCACCGAAACCTTGCATTTATATTGGGTAATCATTTTTGACTTCTAGGTCATGTTTTGAAGCATAGATTAATACCTATGATGGTTAGGGACCTCCTGTCAAGCCAAGAACACCACTTATTCAGGGGTGGTTCCAGACATCAGATTGGAAGGAAACAACCAGACTTTCAGCCAGTAGGCAAATATGTTACCTGGTCATGTATTAGCCCATTGGAAATTTGGAAAAGTGGAAGAAGTGATGGAAACATCATGACAACTTGGGAACTGACAAATATGCTAACAAGCCTAGACATCATCTGAAACTAGGAGGCACTGTTTTATCACTGAAACAATCTCCCTTTAGTATGGTTTGGTTTAGAGACTTTTAAGTTTAAGTAAAATCCATACAGGATAATTCCATAAATGGTACATGTAAATGCGAACAAAAATCAAAATTAAGATGAGTATAGTACATCAAAATGAACATTTGATTTGGTCAAGTGGGACTTTAAATATACAACATTTGCTTTTGCTGTAATTTTCAGGAATGGATGGATTCAGGGGTTAGTGTTGTATAGCAAATATGGTTACACTGACCTGTTTAAAGTTTTGTGTTCATAGATGCTGGAAAAAGCAGGAAAAAAATGTTATTCTTGTAGGTTCCCTGACCCTACTTCAGACAAAACGGAGCAACGTATAGACGTCAGGGAATTGTCAGGCCAGGGAACCAGACTAGCTGGCTTGCTACCATTCAAGTATGTGCAACCGATTGCAAACAAAATGTGGACTAACTAAATTTGGTAAATTGGGGGCAGTATTTGAAAAAAGTCAGTTTTTTTCCAAAGATGGTCGGCCGATCATCATTGGAAATTGATACAAAAATGCCACTTTTCTTGAACATGACAGCACACCAGGTGCCATGATTTTACAGGATGCTTGAGACTATTATCCCTCACAATCAAGTGTGGTGTTTCATAATTATTTGGTAGTTTTTGTTTTTTTCATTTTTCGCAAATATTGTATATTACATTACCTTTAAAGGGAATATACATCATTTGCTTTTGCTGTAATTTTCAGAAATGGATGGAATTGGGGGGTTGGAAATATATAGCAAATATAGTTACACTGACTTTTTTGAGGTTTTGGGTTCGAAAATGCTATAAAAACCAAGCAAAACAATCATTTTCCTGTAGTCTGGTTCCCTGACTCCATATAAGAAGAAACAGAGCAGTTTACATACATTGGGAAATTGTCAGGTCAGGGAACCAATAAAAGCCAGTTTTATCCAACGCTGGTCGGCCGACCAACGTTGGAAATTGATACAAAAATACCACTTTTCTTGAAAATGACAGTATACCAGGTGCCATGATTTTACAGGATGCTTTACACTGTCATTCACTAACAGTCCAGCAAGGTATTTCAAAATGATTTGGTAGTTTTATTTTTTGATGTTTGCAAATGTTGTATTTTTCCTTTAAATTAATGGGGCATTTCACCGCAATGGAAAATACAACCATCAGTCTGAAAAACAGACCGCCCGGCAATATTTCAGTCACTAAGAAGCACTAGACTGATTGATAATCACAGGACTCAGTCCAGCAGTTCAGCAGCTATTTCAAGCTCTGTTGCTGCAAAAGTTCTTCAAGTTTGTCCGTCTGGCCAATCCCAAACAGCGAAGGCAATAAGTCTCTGTCAAGGAAACAGGAGATGAGTCCAGCATGAGATACTCACCTCAGGTGCTTCTCACAAAAACATGTTTTCCGTGAGCCTGATGATGGAGAAAACTGCTCCTGCGGCGACTGATTAGGTCATTACACGTCCTGTCTGTCACACCCAAAAACCTGCCGAAAAAAAGAAAAAAAAATTCCGTATATTGCAACACATTCATTTTGACAAATGTCAAATCTACGAGACTACTACTGCTGAATCAAATATAGGCAGCACTTGCAGTCAAGTTGATCGGTATTCAGTACGCGGGTAGAAACCTGACTGACAGAACAATAATAGAGTTCAAAATAGCTTTCACAGTAAACATTTCGTGGAAAAACTGGGTCTTTTTTCAAAGTCTCGATTCCAGGTCCGCATACCTTTTTTACAAGGTATAGACAAACCCAATGATCCTTTTGCTGTCAAAGTCAAGGACAGAAAGGAAAAATACAACAACAAAATATAATTTTTGCACACGCACTTTTCAGTTATGGATATATACTTCACATGTCAGGGCACACTCTTAATCAACCGAACTGCCAGTGTGCAAAAGGCCCAAATATATTCATTTCCTTTTCATATAAACTGTTAGGCACATATATCCTTTGCACAGTAATTGAAATGGGGAAATGTTTGAATAATGGGTGAGTATATTTGATAATTACTTTTCATCTCCAGTTCAGAAGGCCTTTTCACTCTTTTCAAAATCTCCCATGTAAGGCCCATAAACCATTTTCACATTAGCCAAACATACAACAGCTTCTACAATTGCTCTACTGTGTTAAATTTTTACCCTGGGTGTGAGGCCAACCTATTCTACTAGAGTGAGTGGTTTTGAAGAAAAAACATCAAATAATCTTGGCATTTCCAGCTCCTGAAAAAATGTATCAGAAACCATGATGGGTGTTACCTAGTCAAACAAAACATTCTTGAAATAAGTACCTCATGCTAACTAAACAACCCATTGGAATTAGAGATATGGAAGCCATTTTGGACCCTGTGCGCATGTAGCAACCCCCCCCCCCCCCCAATACACAGACCCTACGATGTTGTTTAAATTCAGATGAAAATAAGTTGCGAAGATTTCACACTATAAGTTGCAAACTGGTGAGACCGAACCAGGTAACAGAGTACCTAACCGTTGATGTCAGGAACCGGTTCCAGATTATAGGATCGGGTACCCGTAACCAACTTTACAAATTACTTAGTAACTACTCAGACAGTGAACAAGAAAGGTTTTGAATGTCATTAGTGGGGAATGTTCCAAATGAGAACCGGTGTATATGGGAAAAATCAAACATTTTCACGTTTATGATGCTCTCGAAAGTTGCAGTTTACACTGTAAAGCTATGCTCACTGTACACACTTGTATCTTGCTGCATTAACGCAGCAATGTAGTATTTTTGTGCCGACCTTTGTGAACAATCTGAACAGCAACATTCAAGAATTGAATTTTGGGGTTTGGTTTCTTTATGCTAGGTTCACACATTCCCGATTTTTAAGCCAAATTGCCAAGAATAGCAATTCTTGAGTAGATCGGGGAAGTGGTTCTTGGCTGCCTCTGGATGATTCTGTTTGGTTCGGTGAAAGATCGTTAAAGATCGGGAAGCGCCCTGACTAATTTGAACATGTTCAAAATTGTAGTGTTATGTCCAAATCTGTATCTATGTCTGATGCGGGAACCACTTTCAATTCTCGGTTTATTCTTGTTGTATTAATTCGGGAACGTGTGAACCTAGCATCAACCGGTACCTGTGTTTTTTTTCAACGGGTTACCCGGTTCCCATACTACCCATAAATGCATGTAGTGTGACCTATTCTGTTCCTCCATACCGGTAGAGTCCCTATAATAAAGCAGGTTGATACAATTTGGACAAAACAAATTCAAAGATGCTCGATTAAATTCAAAGATGATTACGCTGGAATATTGAAAACTTTACAGAATCTGGACTCGAAATCAAGTCTTTAATTCCTCTTTATAGACAAATCCGGGCAGGTAATCAATTCTATCACGAAGGCCCCCTTCAATGGCGAAAGCATTGTGTTAGCTATTGTTCAGATCATCCGTCACAGTGCAGTTGCTTTGTACAATGAATTGGGTGCACAATGGCTCCTCCATTGAAGGGGGCCTTGTGAGTGTACATTTCACATGCCTGGATTCGTCTATAATGATAATGATATAATATTGGATGGCTGTGAGATGGATACAAGAATATATTGCATGAGCTATGGCAATATTGTCATAGCGAGTGCAATATATTCTTGTATCCACTGAAAAAAAGCCATCCAATATTATTATTATTTATATCAGGCTGACTTGATCCGCAAAAAATACAATTCAAGACACTGCCTTCATTACATCTTTTTCGTCAAACCATTTGAAGCTACTGTAATTGTTGACAACAGTGCGCGTATACCTGGCCTCCTTCGCGCTGCATGCGCACAGCGTGTTCTGTGTTCGACGCTACGCGCGCGCTACGCTCTGTTGAGTGGTGAACAACTGTGACTTTCTATGCTCTTGATCATGCGGGAACCAGTGAAAATGCCCAGATATAGTGACTGCAATAATAATATTACTGCAGTCAACCAGGTACCGTAATGTTGCAGTCATCCGGGTACTTATTTATTTTTAGCGCTGGAAGCTTGATATAAATAATAATGGCTATTATTATTAAGCAATAAATTAGGAATCCTCCATATATATGAAGTTAAGAACTTCAGGGTTACATGGGGGTCTAAAATCCGCTGGATCCATAAGGCTGCCATCTCTCATAATAAACGGTACTGTGCTTCACACTCAAAATCCTAATCTGTGGGGAATCCTACCTATGACACTTAGATTTAAACATAACCCTACTGAAAATACCACAGGTAATCAATTTTGGATGCCAACATTGGCGCAAAACATCAAAAACGATTGAAAGCCTCATAACATTCAAGAGAAAATAAATAACGCCTTCATATCATGACATAACTCTTGGGTCTGATAATGTGAGTGCAGACTAAACACGCCACATTCACGCATCAATTCTCAGATAATAAGCATATACGGTGATGGAAATATGGACGATACAGGGAGTTTCTGGGACGCTTCAGGCAACCACACTCAAGTTCAGCAGTTTACAGGTTGAGCAGATCATTGCGTAGTGACAGAAATATTTCATGAGGGGGGGGGGGGATGTTACCAAATGTTTCCCTAAAATTTTAATTGGCCAGCGAGAATGAAACAGCGAGAATGAAACAGCGAAAAAGTCAGGGATTGAGAAATGGCCTGCCTGAGACTGATGGTTGAAGTGACAAACATCCCCATACAGCGCACCAAGTGCAAACGATTATCCGCGACCAGGCGCCCCAGCCGGTTTTAAAGGTACTGTTTAATACCATATTCCCATTCATAAATACCTTATGGTCAAAAAGTAAAAACTAGTCAAATATTTTAAAGTTAACTCATGTTTTGTGAAACACCCCTCTAGCTATGTTTATGGTATGTGCCTCTCGTGAATAGTATGGAGATTGGCGTGCAGGTGACGCATACTGCGCGATGTGGCGCACTGAGAATGCAGCAGTGCCGGAGAATGAATTTAGGACTCTGTGAAATAGGGACTCATTAGCAGTATGAGGCATGTCTAATTGTGAATGGGTGAAGATTGTGAATGGGTGAAAGGGACAACATTTCATAGGAGTCCAACTTCATGTGACACCCAGAAAAGTGTTCAAAACCAGTTGTTTTATCAACCATTTACATCCACCCACGTGATGGGCTCTCGACCAATGGGAATGGTAAACTGTCTCAGGTATTTATGAATATAAATTCAGCTTCTTTTTTTTTAATATACCTTCTTCTTAGCATCAAAGTTCCTAATACTGTCTGGAGGCAGGCATTCAATATTGTATCATTAAAAAATTTCGAATTTCAACTAGTCTCATTTAGTAATTGTAATTCAAGGATGGCCTAAGATGAGGTGCCACCCAACAAGGATTCAATTGATTGATCACCCTTAGTAATTTAGTGCTTCATGGGCCGCTAGTGGCTCTTTGAAACAAACAGCCTGGGGAATGGGGAAGGGGAGGGGGAGGGGGAGGGGGAGGGCCACCCTCGGAAATAACAAGAAATGTGAGTCTCTGTCGCATCCTGGATCAACTGCCAAAACACGGATGATTGTATTAGCGTGGGCATGCAACATGAAATTAACATTGTGTAAAATAGCACTCAGGAGGCAATACGGTCGCTTCCAACCGGCGAGTTAGAACATTTGACTATTTCTGTTGATCCCATTTTCAAGTTCTACAAACTGACAACGGATGACAGGTGTAATAACATTCGGTTGACTGCCGAATAACATTCCATCAGCAGTCTCCTGTTCTTTTTGATTTTGCGCAAATAAGTCCCAACGGGACCCCTCATTAAACTGCTGCATGGGCAACATACATTTTGTAAATTGCCCTTGTCACATTCCGAAGTTACATTTATTTTTTACACATGAATCAAGAACACAGCAGCGCATTCTAGGAATTCCACTGAGCTTGAACAAGACTTTTACAACTGTAACACGGAGGACTTCCAATATTGAATTATGGTCACTGTGCATGTTACTCACGTTAGGATTTCCATACAAATTTTCTGCCACAAGCTAGAGACAATTTAAGTCAGTGTGCTTTCTTACTTAGACCAAAAAAAAAAGTCTCCGGTTTCTGGTATGCGCGCGCGTCGCCGTAGCCATGCGCGTCGGCAAAATGAAAAAGTTTTTTTTTCAATGAAAGATGATGTCTCAAAACCGCCAAACTCACTGGTTTTACGAATTCTGCTGCTGCGCAATTTCAACGTGTTTTTAGATGGGGTTATGATCGAGAATAAGCTTTATAATAAGTTTAGTCGGGCACCATTTGCAGTCATCAGCCGACATTTGAAGCAAATTTGAAGCAAAAAAGTCGGGTAAAAAAAAAAAAAAGCCGCGTCGCCGCACCACTTTTTGGACAAGCTCCATACCAGAAACTGGAGACTTTTTTTTTTGGGCCTTTTCTTATGGACTAGTGTAATAACAGCACATGGCATTTTTTGTGACAACTTAAGAACCTGAGTGGAGGGGTCACACTGTGTGGTCACATTGTGTGCACACACATAGTTTACCATTAT